CCCTTCAATCAAAAAAGCAAGGTGTTCATTGAGCCATTATTATCATTTTTAAAATGTTGTTATTATTATTTTTTTTAGCGTGAGCGAAGACCCTTGGTTATGAAAAAACAAAGGGTGGATGGCTGGTTTAGAAAAATCACGCGGATGTTTCTATCCATAACACACAGGCCCGTGCAAATGCGAAATGTCAAAATTACTGGCGTCCAACTTGCACGCCAGCTACATATCAGTTCGAATTCATCTCACTTTGATTGTACAGCATATGCTAGCCTATGGTTCTCTCACCAGTGACTTTTATACAGAAATGCACATTTTTAAGGCCTGGTTAAGTTTCAGAGCTCTATTAAAACTTCAAAGCAAGAGTTTACTACTGTAACAAGAGCTACTCAAGACAAAAAAAAGAAAAAGCCTAATGAGTTGACTGAAGCAGATGGCTCCCTCATGGGCTCTCCTTTTGGAAAGAAGTGTTTAACATATTATTGACAATTCAGGATGATTGAGTGCATAATATACTGACATTATGGCCAATAATAATTTATCGCCATCGCCAAAGATTCGTCATGGGCTTAACAATCCTTTCAACACTCATTCGACTTTCCTGGGACACAAGTCCTGTTCTCGACAGCTGTAGCATTTGAACACGCAGAGTCAAATTTCACCAGAAAAGTTATGCAAAGTTGATTCTACACTTACTTTCTCAGTTGTTCATAATGCTAGCAGATTTTAATGCAGGGTGAATTTTGGTCCACTTCCATGCAATTCATAACACACGTGTTGATCCAAAACTGTAATGCTAAGGCTTAGCATTCTCTGAGTATTGCCAAAAACCTGACTATCCTAGTATGATTTCACAGACTATTAGTATTTTACAAATTACTATCATTTTAATATTTATATAACTGATGCTCAATGTTGACTTTCATTTGTCCATGAAAAAATTAGTTTTTGAAAATGAAACTCTTGAAAAAGAGTTGGGATGTAGATGGCCCTCATACAGGTTTTTGCTTTGTGTTTTTCAGGTAAGACTTTTTAAGCACCTTTTAAGTTAACCTTATGACATTACACTCTAGATTTCAAAGATGCACATGGTACATATTTTACATCCAGAAGTAATTTATGTTCCCTCTCCTGCAACTCAGTAACGCAGCATAAAACTCTCCCTAATGTAGAGACCTGGATATAAATGCTCTTCTGGGGAGCAGAATGTTGAGACAATGAAGTGACACATGCAAAGACAATACAGTAAAGGAGACAAGCATATGTAAAATTCTGGCAAAGCGAGTTTCCCATGAAATTTAGCTGTGAAGCTCTGTATGGAGATTTGACCAGAGTGAAGGGAAGAGGATGGCTGTTGACACGTTTGAAGTCCCTTGTAATGCGATGTTCTGCATCGTAAATCATTCACGATTAGATGTGTGAATTGTCTGTGCTTCGGCATCCGGGGCGGGTGAGACACCTTAGTTTGTTTCTCAGATTAAAAACACCAGGTTATGTTTTTTAAAATTATATCTTAATATATATTATGTTGCTGAATTTTGTGTAGATCACATGTGCATACTGTGGTGGTCAATTGCAAACAAATGAGGGCTGAGGACCTTCCACAGTATCATTCCTTGCTCTATCCCATAATAATAATGTAATTACAAAATAAATACAATCTTAAAAGAGGAAAATGAAATCAACTCCTCATGTTGAGGGGTTGTTGAGCATGATTTATTAGTTGTGGATCTTTTCAATAAATGTATTTATTTGAATTGAACCATTGCACCTAATCTTTGAAACATTTTTCATACTTACTTTGGTTTAAAGCAAATGTAGCTTCCCTTTACCATTTTGGCTTTGTTGCTCCTCTGATTGATGTAACTTTTTTGAGACAAACCAGTGGTATTAGACAACAACCTTACTTCACCTTGCCAATCTTGACCTTATTCCAGTAGCACGAGAAAACAACTGTATGTACCGTCAATAGCCTAGTCAGTATATTATTCTGTGCAAAATTCAAAACAAATCAAAACATTATTCTGTTTGTTGTGTCTTGAGAACATGTGATTTTAAACCTCTCCCATTGTTCCAAACTCCAAACGCCAACTAGTTTGAGAACAGAGGATTAACAAATGATGACCATTTCACGTAAATAAATAAACTGCCTTTTTTGGTTTTGGGTATTTTTCAATTTTCCAAACCTGGAATGCTGGATGTCTGGGCCATCACAGAAAACTTTTCGTACATAAAAGGACACAGTTTATATGATAAGTCCATCACAAACATGGCCCTGAACAACTGAGACACAGCTACTTGGAGCGTAGGCCGATGGGAATCTAATAAACAAAAGCAAAGCTTATTTTTTTGCTTACAATTGTTGTGCCTGAGGGGACACTTGGGGAGGAGAGGACATGCAATTTGTTAGATATATTCACTGGTCCCGCACTGGACCCAGAAAATGGAGGCAACCACTGAGGTCATCTGCAGAAGTATGCATGCTGGAAGACCAAATTTAGAATGCCTTTTGTTTTATTACCAAAAAATATTTTTCAAAATATACAACTTTCTCAGCTTGTTCCCTGGGAATAAATCCAGGTGAATAAACGAAGGTTCCAACTCCCATCACTGTTTTACAGTGGCGTCTCCCTTTGCCGATCTTTATTCATGGCTTTTATGGAGGGAAAGAGCACCTGGCGCTCTCACTGCCCCGCCTCTAAAGCTCACCCTTTCCTCCCAGCTGAGCTCTTTAAAATCTCCTGAAAGGGAGGGGGCTGGAGGTGCTAAAGCACCGAAGGGGGGGGTGTTGGGTTTGGGGAGGAGACAGGGCTATAAGGGCAGCTGCCAAGGGCCGGAGTCTACCAGGAGACTACACCTGTGACGGGGTCCCCCGGTAACGGCCTCCACTCGATCCGCCTTCAAACGAGAGGAAAGTGCCCGGTCTGCGCCGCCCTAATACCAGGGATCAGGGGTCCCGCAAGCAGCACACTCTGTCCCCAGGGTCGCGGGATTACGCAGAGAGGATTTGGGGGGAGCGAGGTTAAAATGGCCAATTTCCTCTGTGGGCACGTGACGGGGGGCAAGCCACCTGGGAGTGCTCTAATTATGCACTCTAAGGGTGTCACAGCGTGCCGGGCCCCGGCTCTGCAGTCAGCTAAGCCCTCTCCAAGCCCAGCACATGTTTAAAGGCTGTTATGATACCCTTACCATTGTTTGCACCAACGCTTGTCCCAAATCCCCCCAGAGGAGGGTCATATTTAGGAAGTGGGGCTAAGTACATTAATAACACTCTGAGCATCTTATTGCAGAAACAGGAACAGGCAGTGAGGGTCTCATCTTACACCTACAACTGCAAGCTATGTTTTTATATCTGTATTACAACATTCGTATCATGAAACAGGGGATAAACCCATTACTCATAGTAATTGTGTTCAGTGTGTATTAAGGTAAAAAACATAAATTTATCTTCTCAAAAGGGTAATAATGGAAACTACCCTCATAAATTTCAGAAGAATGCCACAGTGTTTAGGACAATATAATAAATGCAGGGAGGGACACAAGAAAGGAAAAAAGGCAATTTACTATGGTGAGGTTTGAGTAACATATTTATTCATTCCTTTTTTTCAAGAAAATTTCCTTACTCAATATTGTGGCTCATGTTTAAGCAAAAGTTAGAGGAATAAAACAAGCGAAAACAGAAGCAACACACCCAGGATAAGATATTTAGCATTCATTTCTGCTCAGTTCACACTGAAATACCTAGGGCCCAGAAAAATACATTAAGTAATTTAATTACTGAAAAAGCCTTAAAGTAAAACAGAACACGGGACAAACTCCTTATTTAACCTCCCTTGGGCTATTGTTCTGAGGCTGAGGAATCAAACGGCTTCTTGTTTAAGAAGCTTATTATCTCTGTATCACTGCTTCAGGGAGGCGTATAGAATTTCCTCAGTTCCAGTGAAATTATGTGTAGGCACTGCAGTTGAAACCCATGAAATGTCTACCTATAGGGGAATTCAAGTCCTTTTTGCTGATCGCAAATTTGTGAAACTACAGCTGTGTAATTGTTTTCCCACAAATGCGAGGCTAAAGGGACATACTACAAAGCCTTAGATAACTATGAACATTGCCTAGGCAAATCTAAAAAAGACTTTAATCACATTGCCTTCATTGGGTTGACCACACTGTTTAGTGGTTAAAATATTACTGCAACATACACGTGAAGGTACCTGTGCTGTAAAGCATGTTATTTTGGTATTACTTTTCCCTCACAGTTTTGCCCCACACTTCATTTCAAACACTGGCCGCAAGCTGAAAATAGGATCCGGCACTTCACAAAAGGATGCCAGAATACAAACATTTATCACAATTCAGTTTAATTGATTGTCCAGCCTCATTCTAATTTATATTAGAAGACATACATTGTGATATGTTGATCTAGTTTCATTACGCTAGGTTTCCAAACTCACCAAAATACAATCAGGATCATGTGTTTGTGTAATTTTATCTTGCCACAATTGAATCACATTGTTTAATTTTTTTTTCTTGTGTGACCATATAATCTATGTTTTTAGAGGTCCTCATTTTTTGTATTTACAACTCAGATACATGTAGTGGTTGGCTTCATGTATTTTATGAATTGGCAATAGTCAGCTACAGCTTGTAGTTTTTTTTCCAGGTGTTTAAACTTTGTGGTTTTATTTTACTGAAAATTCATAATCTACAAATGGTTTTGCTGTGTTAAGTTTCCCTCTTATTAGAGGTAATTCATTTACTTTTATGACCTCTCAGTTCTGAGTATTGTAGTCTTTAAGTCTTTATTTACCTGAGCTGTTCTGATTGTTGAGTGATATTGGTGAAAACCTATCAACAGAAAGGTTTTGGTAAAACAAATGTTCTTCAGTATTTCAATAATATGTTACTCAGATTTGGTAGTTATATGAACAGATAGAATGAGAGAGCTGGTCATTGTCACAGTGAAATAATATTAAAGCACAATGTCCAAATTTTTGATGCTGAAGTACAGTGTAGCGTAGTGGTTAAGGCATAGGACTTACAAACGAAAGTTTGCAGGTTCAATCCCCGCTGAGGCACTGCTGCTATACCCTTGGGCAAGGTACTTAACCCACAATTACCTAAGTGAAAATATCCAGCTGTATAAATGGATAGCATTGTAAAGAACTGTAACCTATGTAAGTTGCTTTGGATAAAAGCGTCTGCCAAATGAATAAATGTAAATGTACATTGTTGGTCATCGCAGTCACAATCAACACATACAAATTGCATTTCAGAGTGTTCTGAGACCTGATAGGTCGTACCTCTTGCACTCTGACATACTTGCATTTGTGACTTTTGAAGATTACACCTCAGCTTTAGTTGTAGAGAAAAAAAAACACTGTAAGCAGTGCTTTAAACATAATTAAGAAACTTAGTGAGTACAATATTAGGTACTTTGGATATTGGATATGCAACCAAAAGAATACATCTATTATGGCTGCGACTGCTAGGAAGCTTAAGGAATTAATAATCATCCCCCACCACCACCACCACAAAAAACATCATAGCAATACACAGATTTGTGAGAGAAAAGATTAATGAGAACAGTTATTCATTTAATGATACAGTATACGACCAGGCCATCAAAATACCACTTGGCCCTCGTCTTGGTTTGGACTTTTTCCCCCCTCACAGATGAAATGAATTGAGAAGGAGTTTCTCATCCAGTGAAGCCCTTCGGAAACATATTGAAAGAGTTGTGCTAAAGTGACAGGAAATAGCGATGCTGAGGGGTTATTGCACCCATTTGCCTGTGGCTGGCTCGTTATTAGGAATGCGGGGCAGTGTAAATAGAGGAGACACAGAGCGGGTACGGAGCCCGAGGTGACTGCATGGGAGGCGGCCGCTCCCGGGCAGATTCTCCGCCGAGCGGAGCAGGTGTTGACAGGTCTCCCCTCCCACAGAGTGCAGCCTGGGAGTGCCAGGGGCCATCCTCGAGAAGCTGCCGCTGGATTGACAAGTTCACGGTCGGCTGGGACGATTGGAAACAGTTGTGGGGGGTTGTGGGGTGGGGGAGGGAGCCGCAGGGGCCGGCATCTGCAGGGGGCGGCTGGGGCCGATTTGTTCGGTGGGTTTGAAGTCATGTGAACGACGCCGCGGGAAGGCTTCGTAGCACATTCATAATCATTCATAAACATTCATAGCTGGTCGGGAGACCATGTGGGTTCATTAAGGCATCTGGCGCTGTAGCAGCTGAAGAGCACAGGATACTAAACTGAGCAGGTGGGTTCTCTGAATGAGCTGGTTGCTCACTGCTGTTACTTTAGTTTGCATCCTGAGGCAACTCCCATTAAACTCTGTTGGATTGGCTCATATCTCGATTCCCTTGGACTCAGTGTAGCAACTTTTTTAACCATTTGATACTATTTTCAGTGTTAGTATTATTGGATGTTAGTATTATTTCATGCATAAAGCAAAGTATGAATTCAGTTAAGAAGATGAACACGGTTTACAGTATTAAATCCACTGATGTGATTGAAGAACATTGCTGTGATAACATGATATTCAATATCTAGAGAAAAATGCTTAGAGAAGTGGGAAAGTGAAACACTGCAAGTCTCTGCTTCATGTTTGTTCAAAATAAAAATACAAAACACATATTGTGACAATACGCACATTAATTAAATTTACTTCTGATATAAAGCATCAACACAGGTTTTTCCCAGATGTTTTTCATTATTTTTGTCCGCTGGCATTCTCTTGTCGTGCAGCTAATAGTATTTGTTTCTTTCTTTCAGCATGTGACGGGATATGGCGGGTTCTGAATCTCAGCCTGTGGATATGTCTTCTCTCCTGTCTCTTTGGACTCCACTACCAGTGGACCACCAGGCTTCCTTTTTATCATGGCTGGCAGCGGGACCCAGATCTCATCCTCTCCAAGAAAAGAGTAAGAACTTGAGAAACTGACAAGGGCACCACCCTTCTTCACGTCCAACATCTCTCTCTCTCTCTCTCTCTCTCTCTCTTTATCGTGGAGATCAATCCCTCCATCACTTTCATGTGGAAAACATATTCAGTGGGGTCTCACACTGCAAAAGAGATCCAGCACCCTGGGGCAAGATGAAAATGTTACAGCCCCAGCCGCACTCTGACACAAGGAATACTTCTTGGATGTAATATTCATTTCCTGAGGTGGGCAGCCTCGCCACAGATATCATCGAGAGGCCGAGGCGAAAAGCGGCCAGCTTTATTAGATGTTCCTCATTCTCCGCGAGTGATATCACGGCGAGAGACGGGGAAAAACCTTTTGCTCGCCACGGGTGTCTCCTGGCCAGACCTGATTTCAGAGCTGTTTAACACACATACACACACACACACACACACACACACACACACACACACACACACACAGACACCTCTCTGTCGGCAACAGGAACGGGCCCTTGAAGGCCTGTTAAAGGTCCTCAGGCAGAAAAAGAAACAGCTTCAACAGCCGCACTGAGAGGTGATATGGAACTCATGGGCAAAGTTTGAGAGCGGTAGATTCCTATGAGTTAAATCAATCAGAATCATTCCTAACAACCTCCCCCCACTGTTTCAGGATGTTGCCACACCCAGCCATGGTGTGGAAGTTAGTGCCACATCTGCCAGCAGGCCAATCCTAAATAAGGTTTTGGAACGTAAGCATGGTCGTTACATATAGCATCGGTCTCCTAATGACGGCCCGTTGTCCAGCAACACAAATCCAGCCCAATTACCCCTTTCCAGCTTTTGTGTATATCTTACAACAGAGCATGGCAATTTGAGGATTGCTTTTATGAGATTCTATTATTTTCCTAAGGATGCCGTTAATGTTGGTCGAGCGCATAAGTGTGCAGGGACGCATGCCCAACCGAAGGCTATTATTCCATTGAAAGTACGAATTTCCATATATAATGGTACTGTTCTTGGCATGAGCAACCCCCCCCCAAGCTCAAAGCTTTACACACAGCGAAGTTTTAAGATATCGTAGTTATGCTGATTACCGAAGCAATAAAGCATGCAAGCGGGAGAGGTTTGGGGAACACGTGTCGGGGAAGGCATTAATCCGTGCAGACTTTTCAGGAAAATAAAAAACCGAGACGACCGCACGAGACACGTGCGAAACGTGGATGTCGGGCCTTATTGATGGAGGTAAGAGAGCACAGCGGTTTCCCCACCGCTCCCACGGCTAAATGAGCTCTTGGCCTGCTTGGTGATTATACTGTCTCTCTGAGGCCGCCGGGTTCTGTTTACCGGGCTGAGAGATTGTTTGTTTTTCTGTTTATTTTCCGCTATTTTAGAAACATGTAGACAATATCAAAGAAATGAATACTGAGGTCTTGTTTTGAATCCAGAGGATGCTGGGTAGTAGATTCTGACACTGATTGTGAACTTCCCAGTTGCGCTGTCACAGTGAACTTGCCGAACCAATGACCGTACAGGACTTGCTGTTAGAAAAAGAGGGTACAAAGATGCAGGGACGATCTCATAATTACAAATCAAGGCAGACGTAAGGGTGCTTCCTAGGATTACATGAACAAATGACTCCATCTTAAAACCAGCATTTGTGTTCCTGTTCTGTCTTTGATATCAAAGCTGCACTGCTGGAGTTTTTTCCAGATTCCATTTAACTGTAGCGCACATATTCATCAACTCTGAGTAGTTCAGGCAAAGTGCATTGCAATTGGACTGAAAAGTGGCACGAATGACAGTTATTTAACTGATTAATTCATTCTTGATGCATTTCACAGATGTGGAAAACATGAAACTGAATACTCAAAAGAGACATGGAAGGTCAACCACATTTCTTTTTTACACTCATTTTGTCTGTTTTCACACACAAGGAGACTGAAAATAAAGAAACAATGGAAAAGGGGAAAATGCCCCATAAACCTCTAGGCTGCTTAAGCTTTTCCTATTCATTTTCGTACAGGTTGTTGTAAATACCTCCCAATGGCCAGTGTTTGTGGAATAAGGCCAGGAGTGTTAAGAGAGATCTTTAACGGCTGAGGTGAAAATCTACAGCCCATGTGCCAAGGGGGTGTCAGTTTTTCCTTGGCTCTCTAACAGGCTCACAGATCAATAAAATTAATTTGAAACATTCACACTCTGCCATCTGAAATCAACCATTTAATGACTTGGTGTTCCCGTAAAACTCCAAAAGCCCCTCTTTGATTTATTGCAACAATAAGAAAAAAATTTGGGGATGCCAGCTTGACAAAGAGAGGAAACAACGAGTCTTTGCTTGGATCTGCTTCAGCACAAACACTCAAAGATCAAAATGCTGACAACAGTACTACAAAATGGAGATAGGTTTCCATTAATAAATTATTAATTTGTTTATTTATATTTTGAGTAAACATAAATATAGGGTGGTTTCATGTTCATGTTACGGTATATGCCATGTGTTTCTTCATGATAAAATGGTATTTTTATGTATAGTTGTAAGTTTGAGATGACTTAATAAAATCTTTATTTACAATAACCCATATACACATATATACATATCATTTTCTAAAATCTAGCTTGTAGGAGACATAACAAAATAAATAATTTCCTTTCTTCTAGGCAAAGCCTCACATTGGTTTGTGATCAAGTGTTCATGGGCATAGAAGATCCTTTGAAGTATAACAAAACTTGTAATAAGGCTAAATATAGCTCAATGACTGTGAGGAAAAGTTAGAGTCATCTGAATCAAAAGCATCCCATCTGTCCTACTTTTCTTAAACCCCTCTGTACTGTACTAAAAAGTCCTTACACCCAGTTTCATTCAGGTGACAGCAGGTTTAAAACACAAAAAGCATGTTAATTAGGATGAGTAGCTCCGGCACTTTAATTTAGTGGTGATATTTGTTCTGAGCAACAACTGGTCCACCAGACAATTGAAAGCATCGTTTGCAGCTGGAGTTTCTGAACTCGGTGAAAACCCATGACTTAACCGCTTGCGAGTATGTCAATTTGACTCTTGATATCCTTGTTACATTTGTTTTCCGAAGGTTTGTGGCATAAATGTGACTGAATACCATCCCTGTGGGCTCCGTAAAAACAGCTTAGAGGAGTTCTGCATCCCTCCT